CCCAAACCAGATACGGACAGAGACCAAGATGGCCCATTGTGTGGTCACTGACCAGAAGGCGGTCTCTAATCCACCCCAATCCTCCCAGAAAACAAGCCTGTAAGTGTCTTGGGCTCAGGGACCGTGGCTTGCAGTCATCTCCAAGCTTCTAGAAGGTGCTTAGTAAATACTTAATAAGCCCCACGTGAATACAGGGAAGCAAATAGGCTTCGTCTTTTACCCCAAGCTTGACCAATCGGTAGTGGGCTTCCCTGGGGCACTTGGCTGAAGAGCATGAGGCTGTGTCTGGGTCAGGAAAGAGCGGTGATCGGCTGGCACTGTCTGCCATCAGTGATCGACTGGCACTGTCTGCCACAGTGCACATGGAGGCCTGGGACCAAGGCCATTCTGCAGGATGGTGCCTCTCAGATCTCAGGTAGGCACGGGAGCTGGAAAGCTCTTCTTCCCTTGCTCAACCTCCTGGTTCTTCAGGTGGCAAAGCCTCCTGAGAATCAGCAGCCTGGGAACAGAGGAGCCAAAGCAGGGAGTGGGCGGGGCCTCAGATGGGTGCCCTCCTCAGCCACACAGAAGTGCAAGCTCCTTCCTCAGTTTCCCCTTGAGCCCCTTGCTCACCAGGCTCAGGCAGGAGGGGCATGCTGCTGGGTAAGAGTCTGGTGGAGTCCCCCTTTCTAGGTGACTTTTGTCTTTGCTGTTGATTTGAACGCATTTCCTGCCCGTGCCTTCCTCCTTGTCCGGCCCTTGCAGGAGGACCCTGTCTTAGGCTCTGCCCTGCACGCTGCCTTGAGATGGGGTGGCTCCGCTGCCTGCTTTCTCTTCCCCCCGATAACTGCCTGTGTGTCAGAAGCAGCTCTGCCTCTCCTGCCCGGGAGGGGTGTCCATCTCTGTCCATCCCACATGCTCAGTCCTCTCCCTCATGCCCCTGAGCCCAGGTTCAGATCAGGCCCGCCAGAGTGGCACTGCGCAGTCTTGCCAGGTGTGCCCTGCAATCTGGGAAGAGCGGGTGGCAGATGCTTGGGGATATCATGGAGCTGGGGCCCCACAGAGCCACACACACAGCAAGTGGCGATCTGGGGGCAGCAGTCCTGGCAGGCCCCAGCTGCCTATGGTGCTCCCAGGCCACACGGCCCACTGTGGACTGAGCTCAACAAAGCTGCAGGCAGACGTTTGGGTTACAGATGGCTGTGAAAGGCGGGTTTGGCCTCCTGAGTCTGGGGAGGGGGATGCGGCTGGAGAGTGGGGTGGGGGCCTCGGCTTTCACACGCTTCAGGCCGAAGGGACACCTGCAGCCTCCTCTCGCTCACAGGCGGGCCTGGCTCCTGGATGAGACAGCTTTGTGGGAGCCAGAGGAGGAGAGGAGGGGAGCCGGCTCCCCAGATGGCCTGGCCTGCTTCCTCTGGGTCTGCGGTTTGGCCACAGGCCCCTGGATTGGGCCGGTGACCACATTCATCTCACGGCCTGTCCTTGGGGGAAGGCTGAGGATGAGGGGAGGTCAGAGTCCAGGTTCCGCTCCAAATTGTTTCTCGTGGCTGCAGCTGGGGAACGCATGCGACGGCACCACCCTGTCCCAAGGAGAGAGAACCCAGCCCCCCTCCCTGTACCCTGTGTGCTTCCCCCGCCCCCGTGGAGACAGAACCTGGCCCCTCCGGGAGGGCACTGGGCATTGATGTGAGCGCAGCCTCCACGACTCGCCTCCCGAGCTCACCACCTGCGGGCTCCATCCCTGGGCTGCAAGAGATCCTGGCCCTGCCATGGCTCCCAAGTGCACCACCCAGGGTCCACATCACAGGACCCACCTCCCCGGACCCCGAGTCAGGTCTTCCAGACTTCGACTCTAAAAACACCGTTTCATAGCTATTTTTTAAATTTTTTTCCGGAAATATTGATACCATGACGCTCACTGTGGCTGGGTACTGCCTCTCAGGAATTCCGAGGAAACTGTTTTGAAAGTGCCTACACTGGCCGGGTGCGGTGGCACATGCTTGTAATCCCAGCACTTTGGGAGGCCAAGGCAGGTGGATCACCTGAGGTCGGGAGTTTGAGGCCAGCCTGACCAACATGATGAAACCCAGTCTCTACTAAAAACACAAAATTAGCTGGGCATGGTGGCACATGCCTGTAATCCCAGCTGCTCGGGATTCTCTGAGGCAGGAGAATCGCTTGAACCCAGGAGGCAGCGGTTGCGGTGAGCCAAGATTGCGCCACTGCACTCCAGCCTGGGCAACAAGAGTGAAATTCTGTCTCAAAGAAGGGGAGGGGAGTGGAAGGGGGGGAAGGGAGAGGAG